TCCACGAACAAGCCATTTCCTTCTTGGGCTCAGTTCTTGATCTGCAAACCCTTAATACCTGGCTACAAGACATTATACAGTCCTAAGGGAGAGGCACGGTCAGATTAATCGAGCATGCAGAGAAAGACCTCAAGTAAAGGTACTGTGGGCTCTGGAAGCCGTGGCCATCACTCCTGCAATTATTAGTTTCAGAGCCACAGGCGAGAGCCAGCCGAGAGGATGCTGAGGGCCCTGCCCAGCTCTGAAAATCTAAATCCTGCGGTTGCAGCTGGGGAGTGACTCCAGGAGGCACCTGCTGAGAGGTGGCTCCACCCGTTGGGGCTAAATAAATCCCCAAGGCTGCCACCATGCAATCTGCCAGTCATCTGCCGTAATTAATGGCAAAGTCACCAACCCTGCTTCTCTGCCTCCCTCCCATCCCCCACGAGCTGTGTGGCCCTGGAGAAATCGCTCAACCTCTCTGAGATAGGAAAAGGACACGACCTTGCAGAGTTTTGATGGATTAGAGATAATGTAGACAAAGTGCTCAGTACAGCACGGGCGGCGTGGCTGAGAAGTGGTGATGCGGACCCGAGCCCGGGGCCCAGCTGGGTCCCATTCCTGACTGCACCATTTCCTGTCGTGTGCCTCTGGGCGGGTCCCTTGGACTCTCTGAGCCTGGAAAGCGGACAGGCACAGCACCTGGCATACAGTTGTTTACCTAAAGACTGTGCTTGGCTGTGGCCATATTTTGCACTTTATAAGGATGTCCAGAGGCCCTGAAAGATCCTGGGGGTATAATGTTCCCTCCGGCACTGGATTTCTTTGTTTGCCCCTCTAGAACTCCCCACGGCCCTTCTCCATCCTGTTCTGTTCCCTGGTAGTTGAATTTTATGGGTGACATCAACAGCCTCCTTTGCCCTTTAGCTTCTGGTTGGGAAGCCAGAGGCCAGAGGGTGTGTGGTTACTCCCCCAGCCCTTCACCTGAGGACTCCAGTCTCTACAGGGGGCCCCGTGCGTGTCTACATCTCTGGGCCCAGGTCTAGGTAACTTCTCCCTCTCCATCCTTCGGGCTAGAGGTGGTAACAGCTCCTCTTTGTTGCAAGGCCTAGGATACTGCACCATCCCCCCGATTGCCTTGAATCCTGACCACGTCTTTGTTAATAACCTCTTAATTAAACTCTCTGCAAATGACTCCACTCGAGCGCACCATCTGTTTCCTGCCAAGGCCCTGATCATGGTTTTAGCATGACATGTATCCTGCGGTATTCGTCAAGGACTCCAGGTACAGCAGAATCATAAAAACCCACAGTGCTTTCCCATATACGTATTTATCTGCTCGAGCATCTGCTGTGTGTCGGGCTCTGTACAAGGAGCTGGGAGCAGAGATGACCACAATCTAGCTCCTGACCCCCAGGAGCTCCTGGACTAGCTGGGGAGACAGACACCTTAACAGATGACCACAATATTTGCTAAAAGCCATTACAGAAGCATATACAAAGCCTGAGGCTCGGCAGGGGAGGGACAGTCACACTCAGGGGGAGGCTGGGAAGGCGGAGGGACTTCTGAGTGGCAGCATTAAAAGATCGTTAATAACATTTTATTTAACTATTTCAAAATATTATCAATGTATAATATCATCAATTAAAAGTGATATAAAAATTCTTAAGGATTTTTGCATTTTGGGGGCACCTGGGTGGCTCAGTCATTAAGCGTCTGCCTTCAGTTCAGGTCCTGATCCCAGGGTCCTGGGTTCGAGCCCCGCATCGGGCTCCCTGCTCAGCGGGAAGCCTGCTTTCCCTCTCCCACTCCCCCTGCTTGTGTTCCTGCTCTCGCTGTCTTTCTCTCTGTCAAATAAATAAATAAAATCTTTTTTTTTTTTTTTAAGTGGGGGTTGCATTTTTTCCAGGTCTTCAAAATCCAATGATGATTTTACACCTGTGCCACGTCTCCATTGAGCCGGACCCCGTTTCCGGTGCTCAGCAGCCGCACTGGTCTTGAAAGGCATCTCATTAAGCAGCGTGGATCAGGGTCTGCGGAACCTCACAACAGATCTGCCAGCCTCATGGTGCTGTTTCTCCACTTTACAGATGAGGAAGCAGACTCAGAGTGGGGTCACACTCCCTGTGGGACATGACTTGAACCTACATCTCTGGTGGTTCCAAGGTCTGTCTCTTCCTGCTGCTCTGTTCTGCCTCTGGGCCAATCCCCGCTCCCTAGAGTGAAGTAGCTGACAAGGGCTGAGAAGACAAAACTTCAACTGACGTCCTCTGACCCCAAATCCTGTAATGTTTCTACATCAGTTGATTCTATGGGACAGATTGGGGGAAGGTAACAGGCCTCCAAACTGGGCTCTGACCTGTCCCTGAGGATAGGGTGGCTGAAGAGAACCAGGGACTCCTCATAAGTTGTACAATTCTCTTTTGGGGGAGCTGTGATTGGGTGGAAGGCCTGGGCTGTGCCGGAGGGGAGGTCTGCAGTGGTAATGGACTAGGTGCGCTGGACAGCAGCCGGCAGATCACCTTGGCATCTTGGCCTCCACAGCCCAGCGGAAACACTGAATTGTCCAGAAACACCCACTCCCGAGCCTAGTGGGGTACTTGGAGTTCACAGTGAATTGGTCACGGTCATTTTCACCCTCATACAGGGAAATTTAGATGGGATGATAAGGGTGAGGCCTTCTGATGGGCAGCTTACCCAGGCTCCCATGTGCAGAGACCTGGGAGGATTCTTAGACCCACATCCAGGCTTCGGAGGAGAAACCAGAATAAAGGCTGGAAGCAAGGGGAGGGGGGTGTCCCTGGCAAGTCCAGAGTGTGTGTCTGGTGGCTCCAGAGGTGTGTGCGGTACTAAAAATCATGATTAGTAGCTGAGCATACACCCACCTGTTCACGGCCATCCACTGTCCATCTGCCTATGGAATCATCCCGCCATCCAACTGGCCATCCACACTCCATCCACCTGTCCACTCCTCCAACATCCCTCTCTCGATGCCTTCATTCTTCCCTTCAGCCGTTCATTCATCTCCCCCAATCCTGTCCTCCACCCGGTCCGGGCTGGATGCTGAGTGTGCAGCAATGGGGAAGACTCCAATCTTCCTTCAAACCCCGTGAGGGAGACGGACACTTCGTCTAAACGAGGGAGGTCAGTGTGGTGATGGAGGGTTCTAGGAGGGGGAGTGGGAGCTCTGAGGAGGAGCTGCCCAGATGTCCCTGAGAGTGTCAGGGAAGGATTCCTGAGGAAGGAACACCCAACCTGGTCTTGAAAGAAGAACAGAGGGGTGCCTGGGTGGCTCAGTGGTTAAAGCCTCTGCCTTCAGCTCAGGTCATGATCTCAGGGTCCTGGGATCGAGTCCCGCATCGGGCTCTCTGCTCAGCAGGGAACCTGCCTCCTCCTCCTCTCTCTCTCTGCCTGCCTCTCTGCCTACTTGTGATCTGTCTGTCAAATAAATTAAAAAAAAAGAAGAAGAACAGAGGCTTGTGAAACCAGAAGAAGAGAGCCTGGTTGATAAGTTGGGCAGTGATGCTGGCTGGCCAGTGACACAACAGAAGCTGGTGAGAGGAAATGAAGGAAGACTGGCCCCCTGCCGGGATCTCACCCCAGGGTTTCCAGAGTGGCTTAAAAATGATTTCTGACAACTCAGAAGTCTGTTCCAGCCTTCCCCAGCCATGCCTTCACTTAGAACAGCACGAGATTTCAGACCTGGAAGACCTAGAGAGCATCGGAGTTAGTCCTGCTGCTGTAAGTCAGGGAAACTGAGGCCTCAAGAGGAGAAAGGACATGCCAAGTCATGGAGTCGGGAGTAAGGGGGCGAGCTCAGGTCTCTAACTCCCATGCCCATGTTCTTTCTGCTAGAGTCTAGGCTTCCCTCCCCATACTCAGGATCACCTGGGACCAAACATTTGCAACCCCTCCGTGCCAGGCACGGTGCTGGGCCTGGAGAAGGGAACCTTCCCCGTGGCCCCCACACTCCCGCCCTGTCCCCACAAACAGAGTGGTAGAGCTTATTCATGCTCTAGCCGTTGTCCCATGTAATTTCCACAACAGTCTCAGAGGACTGGCATTACTACTCCCTTTTACAGAAAAGGAGGCTCAGAGAGGGAAGGGGTTTTGCCCAGAGTCACACAGCCTGAACGCAGTGGAGCCAGCATCCTGTCTCCCCATCCTGTACCTGGCCCGAGACATCAGGCAACACCCCATATAGCCTTGAATGTCCCAGCCCCAGACTGATGCTGTGCCATGGAAGTCAGGGGCTGTGGACAGTTCAGCAGGGACAGGACATGGGGTAAGGACCCCAAAAAGGAACCCCCAGAGATTGTTTTCACCTGGAACCTGCTCTACCCCACCCAGCAATGGAAAATGTGTGTCAGAGGAAGCTGCTGGTTGGGGATGGGGTAGGTGTGCGTGGGTGACAGCATTTGGAGGGGCGCCACAGCGGGGGGGGCAGGATGTGCTGGGGCTGGGGGCAAGGTCAGGGTGCTGGAGCAGGGTGCAGTTTCTGCCCCCTGCCTGCTGCCTTTTTCTCTCTGGTTCTCACTTTCTTTCTCGTGCTCTCAGAACTAAGAGTACAACTTTCACTTCCAGGCGGACAGACAGACTGTCCTGTGAAAGCTATCCCCACGCTCTACCTTCCAGATCTCCTTGGTCAATTCTCTGCTCAATAGTTCGGTCAACAAGCATTTATTGAGCACCTGCTGTGTGCTCAGATGCATGGATGCAGCATGGCCCCTTCCTGGAGAAGTGCATAATCCGGTGGAGACAGAAATATGACAAGACAGGTACAACACCTGGGTGACACAATCCCGTGGGGGGGGGTGGTGGGCGTAGTGGGCAGAGAGACCTTCTGCAAGACAGCACACCAAGCATAAGGGAGGTCATAGTAACTGCTCTTCCATGTGCCAGATTAAAAGGCTAAGCCCTTTAAAGGCTTTTATATCTTTCCATCCTCAATCCTGAGATAGGAGCTTCTAGTATTCCCATTTTACAAGCGAGAAAGTTGAGGTATTAGAATAAAAACTTACCCAGGGTGTCACTGCTAGATGCCAGGAAATGGGGGAGCCAGGACTCAAAACCAGGCAGTCTGCTCTTCACCACCCTACCAAAGAGAGGGAAGAGGGAACAGGTTTGGGGGCAAAAAGAGGGAGGGCCCCCCCAAAGGAGATGGTGTATTGGTGTTGATAGTGGAGGGCAAAGTGCTGAGAGGAGAGGCTGGGGAGCATTCAGGGTCCAGGGAAGGAGTCTTTCCAAGCATCATCTGGGCACTGGGGAGCTGGGGACAAGTTTTGAACAAAGGAGTGACGTGGGCATGTCTGTTCTAGAAAGGGACGCCTTTTAAAGTGGTGACCAGAACAGGCAATGGACAAAAGTTAAATGTGATTGATTTCAATGTGTTATTAGTTTCCTGATGCTACTATAACAAGGTACCACAAACCTGGGGTTCAGGAAACAGAGATTTATTCTCTCTCTGTTGTGGAGGCTAGAGGATTGAAAACAAGCTGTCATCAGTTCGTGTTGTCCAAGACTCTGGGTAGAGTCCTTTCTTGCCTCTATCTAGCTTCTGGGGGTGGCCAACGATCCTTGCCGCGTTGCCCCCGTCTCTGCCTCTCTCAACAATGGTGTTTCCCTTGTGCTGCTGTCTCTTCTTAGGATACCAGTCCTACTGGACTAAGGGACAACCCCACTCCCATATGACCTCATCTTAATTAATTATATCTGCAGCAACTTTAGTCCGAAATAAGGTCCCATTCTGAAATTCTGGGAGTCAGGACTTCAACATAACTTTTGAGGGGCGGACATAATTCAACCCATAACAGATGTCATTTAAGAGCTTGTCATAGGGTAAATATCAAATCTGAAAAAAAAAAATCTTGTGTACATCTCACGTCACAGCTTGAGATTCAAGTGACCTGGCCTCACCATATTTGTCCCCCACACTAGTACTTTGCCCTAGTGAGTACTAAATAAATGTTTGAAAAATACTTTCCTTGTAGTCCCCTAAGGCTCTCAGGTCTGTCCTTAAGGAGTTAGAGAAATAAACTAAAAGTCCCCAGAGAACAAAGTCAAGCTGCCGTCTGTCCCAGATTCCTGGCAGGCAGCTGTTCCTGGGCACCCTCCTCCCCACTGCCTGGGCACCAGCTTGGGGAAGTAGCCAGTCATAAGAAGGACGGAGAGGACAGGACTCAGCTCCCTTCCTCTCCTAATTAAGCAAACCCACTGTGCTCCATCCTCTCCCTTGCTTCCCTCTCCAGACAGGCTCAGACTGTTCCATTCAGACAAATGCCCGTGCGTTATGCTTGCTTCCCTGACCTGGTTCAGGCCTTTCCCTTTACCCCTGGGATGATTGCTCCAGTATTTGAACTGATTTCTTTGTTGCCAGCGCCAATAGAGTCATCCTAAACATGAATCAGGTGATTTCTCTCATTGCTCTAAAACCTTCGATGGCTCCCTATTGCTCTCAGAATAAAGTCCGGATTCCCTAGCTTTTCATTTCTGGCCTTGGGCCTGTTGGTCCCCAGGTAGCTACCCAGACTTGTTCTGCACTATTCCCCTACATGTGCACCATCCTACAGGCAGGGAAGACTCCATAATTTCCACTTAAAAGAGACTATGGTGTGCATTCAAGTTAGCAGGGGACACCTTGGGGGCTTGTCTTGAAGTTGTCTTTGTAAGTGGGGACACCTGCGCATGGCAGTGCTCTCCTGTTATCTGTATCCTTGGTGTATGCTGTCCCCTCCCCATGGGATGATCTCCCCACATCCCAATTTTTCAACATGGAACTCAAAGGACATCTTCACTCTGATCATATAACAGAAGGACCTCTCCCTGATCTGCATACAGAGTACTTTGGTTGAATTTCCTAATGAAGTTTATCCTAGCCCCCACTTGTGCTGCCTCTGTTCCCTTCAAGCTAGGCGCTAGCCCCAGGCCTGTGGCTGAAGGGCAAGAAGGGCAGGTGAGAAAAGTGCCAGAATGGACAGCTGGCTGCTACTATACCCTGGCAAGGTCTTGCTGCATGACCTCGGGCAAGTCACTTTCCTTCTATGGGCCTCAGAGTCTTTTCTATAGAGTGGGGTCTAGGGGGAGACATCCAAGCAAGGTGACAGCATGAGCTAAGTTTCTGGCCAGACCTTGGTTTTATGGACAGGAGGAGCTTTGGGGGGGGGTTCCTTTATTTTGTATTAATTTACATATATTTGCATACGTGTTCTAAGAGGCACTGACTACATTTCATTCATAGAAAGAGCGGGTGTCATCTAATGGATGTCCAGGGATGGAAAAAACCACTGGCTCGTGGTTCCATCCAAATCTTAGCAGCCAGAGGTCTTTAGTAATTAGCCTTCCCTCCCCCTCCCTTTACAGAGGAGTAACTGAGGCTCAGGGTATGTGAGGAGGCCAGCATCACACAGCAAGTGAAGAGAGCGCCAGGCTTCCTCCAGGCTTCCCACCGTCCGTCAGGGGATTGCACTACCCACCTGGCTTCTCTCTCTACGCAGGGTCGAGGGTGCGAGGCGAGGCTCGGTTTTCTCTGTAGGCCCTTCTCTACGCCCCGGAGTAACAAAGCCTGCCGGGTTGGCAGCCTCTGTAACCACCACAGGAAACCAAATTGTAGTAGAAAGTCAGATGCGAGTGGAAAATCCTCTCAGAGATGTGAGATCGTTGCTTTCACCTGCTCTAAAAATAACCCGGTTTATTAGAGATTGATAGATGACGAGATAACCTGCAGTTACTCCCCTGACGCTGGGGAGAGGAGACAGTGCTGTCTGTTGAACAAAAGGGGAGTTGGGAGGCGCCGCAGGGCTTGGTGAACTGGCTGGACCCAACCCAGGGTTCACAGAAAGTTAGCAGGGGAGTGGACAGGTGCTCCTTGGGCCCGTGGGAACAGCAGGAACAAGACAGTGGGCACTGCCTTTGAGGATTCTAGTCCGAGGAGTGGGAAGACAGATAACCGAGGAATTGCCAACTGAGAGGAGGGTTCCAAGGGAAACAATAAGTTCCGGGGTGAAGAGGAGTGGGGGTGGCCAGGGAGGCCTCTAGAAGGAGGGGGCACTTGAGCCGGGACTGGACAGTGAGAAGGTTTTGCGGGGAGGGCATCTCTAGGAGAGAGACCGGCCGGTACCAAGGCCTGGAGCTCCTTCCTGGTCCTTCTGTGGTTCATGAAGTCTGATCAGGGAGCTCCAGAGGACCAGAGACCACCTCTGCTTTGTTTCATAGTCTCAGCCCCTAGGAGGTGCCTGGCACAGAGTAGATGCTCAACAAAAATGCGGTGTTTGGATGAAGGCTCACGGACGTGGCGGGTGCTTCGTAAATATTGAAGGAATTCTTGACTCCTTTCCTCTTACCCCCATAGCCAGTCAGTCAATGGTTCCTACAGATTTGCCTTTCTTTTTTTTTTTTTTTTTTAAGATTTTATTTGTTTGTCAGAGAGAGAGATCACAAGTAGGCAGAGAGGCAGGTAGAGAGAGAGGGGGAAGCAGGCTTCCTGCTGAGCAGAGAGCCCGAAGTGGGGCTCAATCCCAGGACCCTGAGATCATGACCTGAGCCGAAGGCAGAGGCTTAACCCACTGAGCCCCCCAGGCGCCCCCAGATTTGCCTTTCTCAGCGTTTCTCAAGCCAGTGCCCTCCTCCATCCCTACCACCTCTGCCCTAGTCCAGACCCCTCAGCATTAGCTATGCTCACTGTGAGCTGTGAATACCCACTATGTGCCAGGCCCCGTGCTAGGCCCTTTATCAGTAGTATTGCCACTTAGCCTTTAAAACAACCCCAGTGGCGCCCTCATTAAGCAGCTCAGTCGTTAAGTGTCTGCCTTGGGCTCAGGTCATAATCCCAGGGTCCTGGGATTGAGCCCGGCTTCTTCTTTGGGCTCCCTGCTCGGCGGGGGGCCTGCTTCTCCCTCTCCCACTCCCCTTGCTTGCGTTCCCTCTCTTGCTGTGTCTCTCTCTGTCAAATAAATAAATAAAATCTTTTAAAAAAATAATAAAAAATAAAACAACCCCGAGGGACAGGAAACCTTTCCTCCCTTTTACCACTCAGTCTCTTACGTGATCTCCCTGTCTTCTCGCCCCACCCTTCCAGTCCCTCCTCCATAGTTCAACCAGGATGGTTGGCAAAACTCAAAATCGGATCTGTCTGTGCACGGCTTACAACCTTCTCGTTGTCCCCAGGATCGTGACCCCATAGCTTAACGTGGCTCAAAGGACCTGAGTTCCATAGCTCGGCCTCATGGGTCCCCGTGGCTCGTCTGGCTCTTCCTTAGCAACACTTGGATCACCCAGGCCACTTCTCAGCTCCACACCTTTGTTCAGGCCCATGCCCTCTGCCAGGAGGACCCTTCCTGCTGCTGCTTCACCACCTAAGGCTCAGCTCTTTCCATCTCTCTGGACTCCGCCCACCATGGGCTAGGTTGGAGGTCCCCTAGGCCACCCCCTCCCCACTCTGTGTTGACTTTATCAGCACCTGTAGTCATAACAACTCTACTTTATATGATCATTTGTCTTTTAATTAATGTATAGGATTATTTCCGACTCATTAGGTCATGTGGTTCCTTAGTCACTACAGAAAAAGAAACTCCCGAAGCATTTCCTGGTCATCTGGAGTGACAGCAGTGGTCAGGGATTCTGCTCTTTCCTGGGTTAGCTTTGATCTGAAATGAGTCACACGGTCCAGAGACCACGTGTATGTGAGTAGAATGGCGCTGAGGGTCCTGGTCCCTTACAAACCCTGGATTCCAGGAGGAGAAAAAGGTCAATAAACCCAGTAGTTCATTCTCACCCAATGCCTTCTGATCCTGGTCCTCCCTCTTTCTGGGGTTCAGGGGGTTCCTGGAGTTTTCTTGCTTCCACCCAGGCAGAGGGGGATGGTGTCCAGCTGAGGGTTCTCCGTCTGCCAGGCAGGGGTCTGAGCCTGTATGGCCAGCCCCTCCGACAGCTTGGTCTGGACCATCTGGTGCCCTTGCTGCCGGCTCTGTGCCTCAGACCGGGAACCCACTGCAGCCGTGGTTCCACATCTCGCTGCCTGGGAGGACCACGTGGCCGCCACTCTTCCTTGCGAAGCTCTGGCCCCTCGGGCTTCAGGACCTGCTCCAATTTCATGCAAATGACCACTTTGGCCGGACCCACAGGTGCTTGATTCCACGCTGTCCCAGGAGAGACACAGGCACAGCCAGCCACGGAGCCCTAGTGCCCGGCCAGGTGTCTGCGCAGCATCAGCTTCCTCCAGGCTTGGCTACCTCCGCTCCAGCTCAGGGACCAGACTCCTGTCGTTCCGGGCGAAATGCGAACCCTGTAATAATGGTAATTTTGATTTACTAAGGCATATTCTATAGCACGTACTATACTGAGTGCTTTACAAGTATCAAATAATTTAATCCTGATAATAGTCTTACGAGGTGAGTAATTATTGGTCCCCATTTTATATATTTAGGAAATGGAGGCACAGAGAGGTTAAGTGACTTGCCTATAGCCACACAGCCAGTAAACGACAGAACTGGGACAGAGACCAAGCAGGCTGGTTCCAGAGCCACTTGGCTGGTACACTCAGACACTTCAGCGAGTCGCGTGACGCACGTCTGTTTGCTTATCTGTCTCCATTGAGAAGGAGAACTGAGTCTTGTTGCTCCTTTCTCCAACACTGTGGCACAGCAGCGGGCACCCAGTAGGTGCTCAATCAAGCCGCCCTTGACAGGAGCCAGTTCATAACGCCCTGCTTTGGGTAAGAGAGCGCAGGAGAGAAAATGTGTTTCATATTATGGCATTTTGCAACCATCTGTCCTACAAGATCACATTCATGGTCACAACACTGCTGGGCATGGATTATTAGACCCACCTGTCCGATGAGGAACCTGAGGCCCAAGGAGGCTAAGAAATTTGTCTAAGTCATCCAGTGAAGAGTTGGCAGAGATGGAACCTCATCCCAGGTCTCCTGATTCCAAGTCCAGTGCTCACTCTACGCATCAGAAATGGGGCCGGGAAGATATTGCTGAACCCAAACCCAGTCCAAGGGGCATGGGGGGCCCGCCAAGTCAGGGGTCATTAACCTTTCCCTCTCCCAACAGGAGGAAGCTTCTGGGGACAGAGGCTTGCTTCCCTTCCTCTCAGCCCTCAGGGTCTAACACCTCTTCAGGGCAGGAAACTCTTCCTTGTCACAAAGCGCTAGCCCTCCCTCCCCCATTCTCCCCCTCCCCCCAGGCCGCTCCCCTCCCTATCCCCCTCCCCCTCGAGGGTCTTGGTAAAAGCATCCGCTTGTCAGTGTAAATCTACAGGGTTCAGACCAGCAGCTGGAGATGGATGGGCAGGAAGCAGTAACAATGGATGAAAGACCCTCTGTGCCCAGGTGGGTGGGGGAGGGAGAGGCAGGAAACAGAAGCCTCTCTCCTACAGAGGCCTGGAGCTGCGGGCTGGCGGGAGGCCTGGGATGCAAGGACCTGCGGGGGTTTATTTGGATTCCCCGAGGACCCAAGCTGGGAGCCCTTCGCAAACATCAGACCAGCTCATCTCCGTGGGGTGCCCGGTCCAGGATGTGTGACAAGAATGTGGCTTTCATGCGTCTCTGTTGGTCCCTAGGGCCTAGCACAGGGCTGGCTACCCAGTGGGGGCTTGTCTGTTGAAGGAAGAAATCAATCTGGCACTACTAATAACTAAAGAATTGCAGTTTTTTAAAAAGGGATCTCTACGTCCAACACGGGGCTCAAACTTACACCCCCGAGATCAACAGTCATATGCTCTTCCGACAGAACCAACCAGGCGCCCCCGATTTTCTTTTTTAAAAATATAAGAACAGCCACAGTGATCCCTTTCCCCTTCACAATTTTTGCACAGGCTGTTCTTTTTGCCTGCCGCGCCCTTCCCTCGGCTTTCTGCAAGGTCAGCACCTTCTCATCCTCTAGTTGGCAGCCCCCAAAGTTCCCCCATAAAGCTCTGGGGGCCTGCTTTGACCTCCATCCCCTGCTAGGGTAACCCCCATCCCCTCGCCCCTCTAACCCACCACCCTGTAGACTTCCTTGGTGGCACTTACAGAATAAAACATCTTCTCACTTACTACGCATTCTTATTTTTGTGTTCCCTGTCTCTCCCACCGGAATGTGAGCTCCAAAAGCACGTCTTATTGTATCCCCAAGGGGCAGGTGCTTGGAAGATGTTCCATAATTTGTTAAGCAGATCCAGAGGGGAACAACTGAGTCCTATAATGATGTCATTCACACCCTATGCTCTGCATTCTGCTTCCTTGAAGAGAACAGAAGGAACCTTGCTCCTGCGCTGAGGAATGTAAAGCCCCAGCCCATACTGAGAGACTAGCTCCCGGGTCAATAATCGTGTTGATCACAGATCACGATAGGACTTTGCTTCCCCCACAATCATTTGTGAGGTTCATCAAAATCTAGGTGTGCACAGTAGGGGGAGGCCGTGTATGGGAATGTCTACTGTTTGTCCAGCACACTGCAGTGGAAACTGGGGTGGACAGGCTGGGTCCATCAAATGTACCCATTTCTAAGATGGGACAACCAAGGTCCAAAAATGCCAAGGTCACACACACACACACATACACACACATCAGTCCAGAGTTTTACCAGCAGAGAGTTCAATAGACCTGTGGATTCACTGAACCTGAAGACAGGCATTCAGATATTTATTGAGCACCTACTAAGTGCTCTGGGCTGGAAGCTGGGCTGTAGCAACAACTAAAGGCTCAGAAACTCAAAGCATTTATGTAAAAGGCCCAGCCAACCTGACACGGAGCCGCTTCAGTGACCTTGAAAGCAAGTCCCTGCATGGCCAGGTATGATAGCAGGGCATGAGTCGGGGAAAGGAGTCCCCAAGTGCCAGAAGGCAAGGGAGGGAGAGCTGATCTGGGGCTGGACCCAGAGCAATAGTGACCTAAGAAGCCAACTTAGCTGGGGGTAGCAACCACTCGTGTGCCTGCTATTGGGTTGGATTGGTGCCCTTCTAGTGGAGTGCTTTGTGCCCTCTCAACCGTGCGGGACCCAGTCAGCAGAGAAGACCGAAGACCACTCATTCACCCAGGAAACTCCCACTGAGCACCTGCTGTATGCCACAGCCTAGGCCGCACCCTGGAGTCACAGTCCCATCTCTCAGAGGCCTCCGAACTGATGGGGGCACACAGATGAGCCGTCAAACCTTCAGACACCTGAGATCAGGTCCCCCCCAAGGCAGCACAGACCAGCAAGGAAATCCTCCCTCAATGCCTCCCAACTCCCACTTCTGGGACCGTGAAGAACATCACCAGGCCAGGCAGAACTGTATCCGGCCTCAGCTCCTCCTCCAGGTCAACCTGTGACCCTAAACAAGGGACTTAACATCCCTGAACCTCAGTTTCCCCATCTGCAAAATGGGGAGAGTGGTAACAGGACCTGCTTACGCAGCACTGTGGGAATTTGAGGAAACAAGTCGCCCAAGCTCTTGGCATACAGAAACAGTGAGCACTCGGGTGGCCAGGGGCCTGCTATGGCCTCCAGGGACCACCATTCAGTCCCACAGGCTTCTGTCTTGGATGGAGTCAGTCAGTCATGTAATGGGGGGTCCTGGCTCTGGGCTCGGCCGGGGGCCTGGCAGGGGTGAGACCCAGCCCCGGCCCAGGAGCAGCTCACCACCCAGGGAGGAGCCCGTATAGCAATATACTTGTAACAAAACGTGGCCAGTGTTATTCTAGATCTCGTTCTGGTTCACAGTTCTGTGAGGGGGCCTTGCTGTCCCCTCCCGATGGTCCTTCACAAGGCACACGTTGTTATCCTGATTCCACAGGTGAGCAAACTGGGGCTCAGAGAGGCGAATCTACCTGCCCAGGGTCATAGGAACACTGTCTCCAGAACCTGTCCTCTGTCTTTGCAAAAGCAAATCTGGGGCACATGTTTGTTCATTAAGTCAGTGAACCCTTTTGCGCCCGTGCCATACACCAAGTCTGGACCTGGATGTACTGGCATGGAGCTAAACAGGGCAGGGCCCCTGCCCCCACTGCCAGCCAGGGGACACATAGATTTGGGGCCTGCTGGAGCTCTGTAACCGACTAGGGGCCTTTTGGCACTGGTCTAGGCACCCCCCCCCACCGGCCCCCACTTTAAAGTGCTGGGAGGGCTGCGGGGAAATGCCCAGGGAGGGAGGCTGTGACAGTGTGACAGCTTCAGGCCCCCAGGGCCACCATGTCCGCCCAGCCTGGCTCTGACTCACCACCCACACCTGGCTCTGGCCTCAGGCAGCCACGTTGCTGGAAATAGACGGGGCGGGGTGGGAGGGGGGGAGCAGGAGCAGGGGAGGGGAGGGAGGAGGGCGGGCAGGGAGGTGGCACCTGCATGCGTGGCTGCCATTCCCACCCTCCCCACCGGGAAGCAGAGAGATGTCATCCACCAGAGCCCATTGGAAATAAGCCAGGCTCGGGAACGCTCCTGGGGGCTGAAGACCCCCGCCTACCTGGGAGGCTGCTCCGAAGCAGTGAGGGTTATAATAAAAATGGTGTCGATGCCTCACTTCCCACCAAGAGTCTCGGTGGCTCTTGAGCACTTGTGTGCCAGGCTGGCCTCCGTAAGTGCTTTGCATGTATTGGTGATCTCACTGAACTCCCACAGCAACCCAGGAGGTTGTACGTGATGAAGCCTGTTCCACCGATGAGGAACTTGAGGTTCAGGGAACCACGGTAAGTTGCCTCAGACAACACAGCCCCTGCATTAGGCATCGTGAAGTCACCTCAAGCTCCTCCTCCCCCCTCCAGCTCAAATGGCTCATTCTAGGTCACATGTGCCAGCTCTGTTCCCATCTGTCCTGCCCGCATCCCCTTCCCTCTTGACCTAGGTAAAGCCTCCCTTCTTCCTGCTCTGGGAAGCAGAAATCACATGATCATCCTTCTCCTTTCCTCCCTACCTATCTTAACCTTGCTCAGCTTTCAGCCCACATCTGATCATGCTGTCTCCCTGTCTAAAACCTGCAGTGGCTCCCTATTGCCCTCAAGATAAAATATATTCCAGAGCCTCCATACACTGAGCCCTTCCCACTTCTCCAGCTTCATTGCTCACCAAGTCTTTGCTTGGGCAAGTCAGGACACTTCCCAAGGCTTGCTCTCCTGGTGGGCACGCTAACACAGCTGCACAATGATGGGGATGAAGGGACTGGTGCATGTCAAGTACCTAGCGGGGACCTTGGTGCATAGTAGGTGTTCGGTAGACCTTCTCTGCTACCGGCTCTGAGCCAGAAGCTGGGGAGTCCGTGCTCTCAGCCAGGCTGGGGTCAAGAGCTTTATGATGGTCTAGCCCAAGGACTGACTTGTCCATGCTACTGGAAATCATCATGTTAAGAAATTTTGAAAGACGGCAGGGCAGCAGGAGTTGGAACTAGGGAAGGCGAAAAAGGCAAAGGATCTGTTGGTAAATGTGAAGGGGTACAAACATTGGGCTGACAATTCTTTTAAAAATTCAATTACCACATGATCTAGCAGTTCCACTTCTGGATGCATGCCTAAAAGAATGGAAAGCAGGGTCCCGAAGAGAGATGTTTTAACCAGTGTTTATAGCAGCCTTATAATAATAGCTAAATAAATAATAAATAAATAGGTGAAACATGGAAGCAACCCCAACGTCCATCAACAGGTGAATGGATAGACAAAAGGTGATATATACGTACAACAAACTATAATTCAGCCTTAACAAGGAGAGAAATTCTGACATACTACAACATGGATGAACCTTGAGGATATAACACAGAGTGAAAAAAATCAGTCACAGAAAGGCAAATACTGTGTGATCCCAGTTATTTATTTTAAAGATTTTACTTTTAAGTCATCTCTCTACCCAACTTGGGGCTCGAACACACATCCTCGAGGTCAAGAGTTGCGTGCTCCACTGACTGAGCTGGGCAGGTGTCCCAGTGTGATCCCACTTACAAGGTGTACTTAGCGTGGTCCGATCCAGAGAGCTAAAAGTTTGAATGGAGGGGTGTTGGGTGTAGAGATGACTTAAAAATAATATCTTTAGGGCGCCTGGGTGGCTCAGTTGGTTAAGCAACTGCCTTCAGCTCAGGTCATGATTCCAGAGTCCTGGGATAGAGTCCCTCATCGGGATTCGGGATCCCAGATCCACGGGGAGTCTGCTTCTCCCTCTGACTTTCTCCCCTCTCATGCTCTCTCTCACTCTCTCTCTCTCTCAAATAAATAAATAAAATCTTAAATAAATAATATCTTTAAAAAAAGAGAGAGGGAGGAAGGCAAATGGAGGGTGCCAGGGGCTGTGGGGGAGCGGGGCAGAGACAGAGTTTCAGGTTCACGAGATGAAAAGGTCTGGAGATGGATGGTGGTGAGAGCTGCACACGATGAAGGTCTGAAACACCACTGAGCCGTGCACTGAAAAATGTTTAAGACAGTACATTTTATGGGGCGCCTGCGTGGCTCAGTGGGCTAAATCCTCTGCCTTCGGCTTGGGTCGTGATCCCAAGGTCCTGGGATCGAGCCCCGCATCAGGCTCTCTGCTCAGTGGGGAGCCTGCTTCTACACCTCTCTCTTCCTTCCTACTTGTGATCTCTGTCTGTCAAATAAATACATAAAATCTTAAAAAAAAAAAAAAAGTACATTTTATGTTTATGTATTTTGCCACAATAAAAAAAAATGGAAAAGGGGGGGGCAAAAGAAAGCCGCTTTCATAATTGGCTTTTTTTTTATCCTCACCACAATCTAGAAGGTAGATATACCCAATCTAGAAGGTAGATACACTTGATCTTAGCCAAAAGCCTGAGAAGGGGTGGATGTACTCACTCTATAGGAAGGAAAGCTGAGGTCAGAGGAGTGAAGATTCACGGGGGGATCAGGGACAGCCTGGTCTGGGACCAGCTTTGTCAGGCTCGAAAGCCCATGCTATTGTCCTGTTTGCACCCAGCACCTTGAACATGGAGGAGGGAGAGCATCGGCTCAGGAGAAGGGGCCATGCACATGTGAGTGTGCTTGTTTGTGTGTGTGTGTGTGTGCGTGCGTGCACACGCAGGTGCACGTAGAGGGTAGCAGACAAAGAGCTTGAATGGAGGCCTCAGGCAGGACTGGTTCCAGAACTTCAGGCACATATGAGTGCAGGGAGTGGAGGTGAAAAGCTGGGGTGAGGTCACCTGTGGCACAGGGAGAAGCCTGGCCTGGATCCTTCCTCCCAGCTCCAACTTTCCAGATGAGGAAACTGAGGACCTGTGTCTCAGCCAGGCCTCCACAATGCAATGGGTAAGTGATCCGGAGGGCTAAAGAAAGAAAGAAGAAGGACCCAGGTCAGGCAGCAGTGGGAACCCCTCCCTTCCCCGCCACTTCCCCAGGACCACACCCCCACCCCCACCCCCACCTCCAGGCTTGGCCTGGTCTCCAGCCTCACAGGTGGGAGTGACTCAAGCCAGGGGCCTATTCTGGTGGCCCTGGCCCCTGGACCACAACGGAGCTCTGGGCCTCTCAGCTGTGATGTCAGTGGGCCCTTCCTTCCTCCCACATCTGCTTGAAAGGTCACCTATCTTAAACTCTGTCTCACCCCACCCTGTCCCTCCCCCAAAAGGGGATGACTTTTTCTAACCTATGTCAGCTGTTCTGTTCGATATTCAAACAGCTTTCTGTTCTGATGCCTGTCACCAGGGCCTCCACTGCCAGAAAACCCAGCCCCCGCCGGTCCCCCAGGTTGCAGAAGCCCACCCTACCTGTTTTCAACTTAATAAACAATTTCCTCTGTAGCTACTGCTGTGTCAAGCACTGACCTGTGCCCCTAGGGATAGGCGTCTGCGTCCCAGAGTTTACGTTCTCATAGAGGCAAACAGATAACCAATAAAGAAGTCAACGAATATAGTAACAAGATAATTTCTAAATATGACCAGGGCTATAAAAAAACAAAACAGGCAAGAAGACAGTGATTGAGTGGCTACTCTACCATGAGTGGTCAAGGAAGGGTTCTCTGAGGAAGTGGCAAAGGTCTAAGGGAGAGCATCCCCAGGAGAGGAAAGAGCAGGTGCAAAGGCCTTAAGGGGAGAATGGAAAGGAATGTTATAGGAGTTTTCCAGGTGGGGTTCCCCAACTAGCAGCACCCTCTGGGAATTAGTTTCAAATGTAAACTCTGGAGCTTCTGGCTGGCTCCGTCAGAAGGGCATGTGACTCTTGATCTTGGAGTTGTGAGTTCAAGCCCCACGTTGGGTGTAGAGATGACTTAAGACTAAACAAACCAACAAATAAAATGCAAATTCTTGGGACCCACCCCCCAGATCTACCGGACCCTTCTGGGGGTAGAAGCCAGCAAGCTGGGTTTTTAGCAAGTCATCCAGGTGATTGTGATGTACCTTCAACTTTGAAGGTCACCGAGGTAGAGCTCAGGAAGAAAGGCGTGTGTGGCTGGAGGGTGGTGCGGGGGAGAGAGCTAGCCGCCACCCGCCACCTGGCAGCCTCGCCCCTGCCCATCCCACTCACTGCCTTGCCTCACTTCCTGGCCCACTCTAGGCAAAGCTGAACGCCCTTCCAAGGCTCCTCATTGCCCTGAACTGTCTTTCATTGGAAAGAGCATCACCCGGTCAAGAGAGATGTCCCCTGGAAAGTCGAGCATATCAGCCAGAAAGTCAGTGTGAGCTCTGTCATCAGAATCGTGTCCCATGGACAGAACACGAGGAGCTTCTGGGCCGGAGAGGACACAGAAGCTCTGTGCGCCTTCTCACATACCTCACCCCACACATCTCTTCCATCTGGCTGTGCTGGAATCATATCCTTTTGCAATAAACCAGTAATCTATTGATAATGTTAACCTTGCCACTGGCAAGCAATGGCCTTCCTGAAGCTTCGCTGCTGGGACTCCTGTGGGTGAGATCGGCCGTGGGGCATCCCCTCCTCAGCCTACACAGGGCTGCACCGTGTCCAGACACGCTGGGCCATGAAGCTCTGGTGACACTGGCCCATCCAGGTGAGGCTGTGCTTTGCATCCCTTTGGCTTTTAAGATATTTAAATATCTCCCTATCTCCCATCCCACTCTAAAGACTTCATTGGGGTGCCTGGGTGGCTCGGAGGGTTAAGCCTCTGCCTTCAGCTCAGATCATGATCACAGGGTCCTGGGATCGAGCCCCGCATTGGGCTCTCTGCTCAGCGGGGAGCCTGCTTCCCCCCCCTCTCTCTGCCTGCCTCTCTGCCTACTTGTGATCTCTCTCTGTCAAATAAATAAATAAAATCTTAAAAAAAAAAAAAAAGACTTCATTAAAACATCAAGAAGAGGGGTGTCTGGGTGGCTCAGTGGGTTAAGCCTCTGCCTTCCGCTCAGGTCATGATTTCAGGAATGGAGTCCTGCATTGGGCTCTCTGTTCAGTGGGGAGCCTGCTTCTCCCTCTTTCTCTGCCTGCCTCTCTGCCTACTTGTGATTTCTCTCTCTGTCAAATAAATGAATAAAATCTTAAAAAAAAAATCAAGTAGAAGGAAGGAAGGAAGGTAGGAGGGAAGGAAGGAAGGAAGGAAGGAAGGAAGAGAGATCATGGTTTTGGGGTCAGAAGATGGGGCAACTCACTTTGTCTCTTTGAATTTTGGTTTCCTCACC